TACTTCATTGCATAGGATTCCCATTGCTCCATCACTGTCAGGCAAGTCATCTCTACCAGTGCTACTCCAGCTGCTGAATTCCTTTTTCTCCCTGCAGCTCCAGTTCCTTGTTAACTCCCAACTATCCCTTGCTTGCTGTAACTTGCACGTCTCCTTCCCTCTGTAAAACTTTCAGAAATCCTTCAGATTGATCTGGTCACTATAAGGAGATTCTGTGTATGACACACAGTAGGCATTCCTTATATCATCTGCCTACATGGATGTCTTTTAGAAAAATCTGCGTAATTTAAGTTCTTTCCTTAACATACAGTGTATCATAATATAAAAGAAAAGTTAGTCAGAACATCTCAATTTATTATAAAGATAATGTTATTGTTTACAGGTTGCTCATGCTAAAATTCAGAGTCTGGAATCCAACCTGGAGACTATTTTGATTCGAGAGAACAAAATGAAGACTGCAATTCAGTCCCTGGAACAGGAAAATATAACATATCAAAAGACTCTTGAGCAGATAATGAAGTATTTGCCACCAGAAGCGTTGTCTGACTGTGAACTGCTCCTGAAGGAAGTGAATTACAATCCAAATAATAAAATAAGGAGTAAGCCATAAACCAGGGTTTTCTAGGCAGCATTTCTTCAAAAAAAGGGAAAGAAAAGATGAATATGCTGCTTTCAAAGAACTTAGCAATAGGCAATGGTATTATCCAAAACTAGTGCTGGGACACTCATAGCTACAGCTGGGCCTTCAAATGTCAGTATGCAAATTCAGGCTATTACTTTTTTATGATTATGTACAGAAATCACAAGGGGGAAATAAAGGATTCTCACATGTAATTATAAGTAGATGTATATTTAGAGTTGACCTAAAGGAAAAGAGAAATTTCAATAGTCAGAGCCAAGATAATGGTGATCTACAAATTTGCTCTGATGTGCTTGTCTTATAGTGAAATGAGGATAGTGTGTCTTTATATATATGTATGTTGAATAATACTTGAAGACAAAAAAAAAGAAGAATGTAATTTTCCCTCCAAAGAGCAGCATGTTTCACATCTTCTGTGGAAAATCTGTGTGAACTCATGCGTGCCTCTCTTTTAATTCTACTGACATTGTGTGCACAGACCAATAAGCAGAATAACTATCGTGACTTGGTGCGTACAGAAAGAGCTCTAGTGCCATCCGCTGCCTGGGCTGTACCGGTCAGCAGTGTAATTCCACATGCATGTTGGAACTGGAAACAAAAAGCATCATGTCATGGCTCCGCCTCGGTAACTCAGAGCTAAAAAATAGTTATTTATACACTCTCACAGAACTTGTAAAGGTAAGAGCTAACAGGGAGTGCTGCTTCCTTCCTGGCCTGTTTGCTTCCACCTGTCCTGGGGCTGGTCATGATGACAGGAGGAAGGAAGCAAGGCTGTATAGAGTGGTATTTATTCTGGTGTTAATTTTCTTCAGGAAACTTGCTGTCATAAGAGTTAGACATGTTACAGGTTCTCATTTAACCAAAGAAATACTGCAAGAAGCCTTGTCTTGTAGTGGGAACCAGAAAGCTGTTCTTAAATTTTATTTGAAGAGAATTGAGGTGGATTGTAGAAAGTTGGGCAGAAGTGCACAAGAGAGGACCAAGCAAGTTTCAAATATTATGTACCTTTCGGTTTTCACGTATACAGTGGATATACATTTCAAAGGGGATTCTGAAGTACAGGTGCAGTTTTAATAATGCTTTCCAGGTTATTCCTGTTTTAATAGTGCTTTGTGATCTTCTTTTTAAAACAAAAGTCATGAACTTCTGTGTTCTGGGCAGAAGGTGAGGTAAGCTCTGATCATTTCAAGGGAGAAAATATGTTTATAAAGGTATATAAAAAGATGCATATAGATTTGAAAATGGTTTTTGAGTGGAATTTTTGAGAAGGCTTAATCAAATGTGTAATAGACACGTATTTTGGAGTACATGTCTGAACTGTTAATTGAGTGTTACAGTGGCTCATGTTATCTCTTACCATTTATACTGTATTTCAGGAAACATTCTTTTTAGTAAGAAAAACAGTTAAGCAAAGTGCCAAATCCAGCTGTGTCTTTATGCATAAGATTGTCCAATTTAGAAAGCAAGGACTTAATATCACTGCTTTCTAAGTATTATGCTTTATTTTAACATAAAATTGAGGAACAACAATGCTGATTTGTTGCACGCTGCTGTGGAGCTTAGGAGCTTGGGGTCTCCTGGTTTTATTTTTTTCTTTTGTTGTTGTTTTTTTTTTTACTTCCATGGTGTTTTATTTGATTAAAGATATTGATTTACTTAACAGTCTTTCTTTTTACAGTTGGGGGTGCAAGGTCTTAACACTGTGGATAAAATTTTGTGGAATCTGTCTAGGTATTTCAAGAATATTGTATTGTACTAAGTGGGAATATGCCAAGTGAAAAGGCAGTTCTTTGCGGTTTTGTTCCGAGTAAGTTTTAGCTGATGTGTACATACAAAACCAGTCCTAGGATCTGCAGTAGTGTGTATTACAAAGAATCAAGGTTATTCAGATACTTTTTTTTTTTTTTTTTAAGATGCACTGAATGTGCTTTATCCTCTGTTTCACTTACAAAATTTTTCATGTAATGCCTGGAGAAATTCCAATAAATCTCATTGCTGCATTTCCCATGGCCTCTGGCTAGTTTTATTTTTCTACACTTCAAGTACCAATCTCATTCTCAATAGTACTGTTGACATGAAAGATGAAAAGGATCTCTTTAGTTTCTAGTTGTGGGGAAAAAAAATCACGGGATTTGTAGGAGGACATGGAGAGGACAGAAGTTTTTATCGGTAGAAAAAGTCTTGCATTGTTAACTGAAGATGAAATGATTAAAAGCCATTTTTCTTCTGTAGCAGTTCATTTAGTACATATGCAGGTTGAGAATAGTAATTTGATGAACTCTGTGCTGTACATCTGGCTTGAGAGGAAGAGGAGGACACCATATCAACAAGTAGGAATGAGCTACAGAAGTAAAACCACGATGAGGTAAGTGCCTCATGACATTAGGACATTTGTGATAGCATTTGTATTCTGAACACAATTGTGGCTTGTAACTGGGTATTTCTAGGGTATCTAGCTTGAAGTCTACACTCAGGCAGGTATGCTCCAGACCATCTTCAGATGAATAACCAGCAAGATTATCTAGAAGACTGTGAACAGTGTGTGTTTGTGTCCATCTGTTTGTCCCTCCCTGTCTATCGTATGGGTAACTTAACAGTTTTTCCATTCTCTTTGCAGTTGTGCAGCTGTGAAGAGGAAAGTCTAAGGTGCGCTGGGCCAGAGACAGAACTGCCAGGATATTTGCTTGGGTGAAGGGACAGTTCCTGGATTTGGACAAATTGCTCTTTTATTCCTCTCTCTTGTTTTTCTGTTTGGAAAAAAAAAAGTTTTCAGAATAAAGCTGCTGTTCTGTCTGAGCTAAGCACAACAGCACTCTCAGTCTTTGCTGTCAACTTGTGGAGAACTAACTCAGGAGGAAAAAGTGTCTGCTGTTTTCAGGAACACCTAACTTCAACTGGTTCCTGCTGGCAGAGGGCTTTTTTAAAAAGTCTGGGAAGAGATCCATCCTTTTAGCTAGCAAACTAGCTTTTAAATGAAAAGCACTACTTGCCAGGAATACAGTTGAAATAGGTCAGTCTGGTAAGAAGGGCTAACGCAGGGAACTCTCTGGTATTCGCATCTTTTTATGGATGGAAAACTTGACCAGAAAGTGTTTTCTGGTTAGTGTTTGGTTTTTTTGTTTGGTTCCCCCCCCCCTCCTAAAAAGGAGAGTATTTATTTCTCTCCTAAAAAGGAGAGTATTTATTTAAGGTGCCTTTAAGTTTTATTTTGTTTCCTTTTCTCTTTAAAAGCATTCAATTTTATTGCAAAATCAGTCTCCTGATAAATGGCATATTCCAGTCGAAGATGTGACTTGAAATCACAGATCTAGCTAATCTTAAGTGATTTGATTATGCCCTCATCAACATGACACTGCTTTGCTTAATAATCACTTAAAGAAAGCCAAACAATTTGTAACATGGGAAAGAATTTCAGCAGTTTGGTCCAAGGATTTGATATTACTATTTTGATCCAGAGGGTCTACATTTGGACAGTTGGTCTAAACCTAAAACTACTTGGGTATTAATGTGAATAGCTTTTTGTGTGTTGAGGTGAGTAACCCCAGGCACTGTTAATAGTCATTGGCCGCTCAGTCTTTGTAGTCATAGATGGGTGTTGACAGTCCTGTGCAGGCCGTAACATTTTGATCTCTACACCAGGCTACAGCATCTATTTGAAGAACTGTAATTGATTCTGTATTTCTGTAGGTCAGCTTTTACTGTCAGTGTTAGCTATCGAATGCATTTAATGTATGCTTTGCCTTAGTCTTTTTAGTGACTAGAAAGAACAAAATTTAACTTTCTTTTCCAAAAAAAAGACATATTGAATGCTTAGCTATATCCTGCCTCCAGACATCTGGTGTGCCAAGGGATAGAATTTATATGCTTAAAGTTTAATATGTTAGCTCACTCTGTCCAAAAGCGTATTAAACTCAGTAGTGACAGTAAAAAGCTGGGGAGCAGAGCAGAGATTACTGTGTGCCTTGAGCAGCTAATGAGTTGTGTGCTGACTGGCTTGCAATGAAGTAGAATCTGGGTGAATTGGTACTTGATGCATTGTTTTAATGCTGACCTTAATTCTGGATGCAAGGAAGGAGCTGATGGTGCTCTTTCACCAAAATGTTGTGTTGGGGTTTCGTTTGAGTGAGAGGATTTTCTGCTCCTTTACTATTCCCTTCAGAACTCTTGCTCAGCAACCACTTTTTAACAAGGAAATTGGGAATTGTTGTTCATAGTCTTACCATCGGAAAAACTTGCAGCTTATCCAAACTGTTCCCATACTCAAATTACAATTTATTAAAGTCTTCACTCTGATTAAAAAACAAAACAAAACACCAAAACAAACAAAAAAACTTAGATGGCTGTAATATATTGGGTTTATTTCTAGTTAGAGTGCATTCTGAGAGATGACATAAATGCCATACATCATGTCCTGCTAGAACATACGTAGGGAGAAGTATCAAGTGAGCTTGTGCTTGTAAAATGCTGGACTAAGAGATGTCACTTCTTAGTGTGGGAAATAGGTTGATATCTGACTTCAAATTAGAGACCTAGCTGCACTGGCTGTATGTACTCTATGCTGTTATCTGTCTGAATTATTGCTTCCATCGCCTGCACACACTGAGTAGTTGGAGTTGCAGGTATTTAGATGTATAGGGCCGTTTTTTAGCTAAAAAGTTTAAATGGCTTGTGCCATCAAATTTTAAGTGTGAATGGAGCATTCTGTGTAGTATAAACATTCTCTGCACGTCCAGAGTAGCCACCCAGCTGAAAACCTTGTTTCAGAACAGATGAAACACACAGTGCAGAAAGAGCTTGTTTGAACCTATAGTTACTTTTCTCTTGGCTGGGCAAGTTGCTACCCAAAATAGAATCAGAATATCTCGAGTTGGAAAGTACCCATAAGGATCACTTGAGTCCAGCTCCCTGCTCCTCACATGACTACCTAGAACTAAACCGTATGACTAAGAAGATCATCCAGATACTCCTTGAACTCTGACAGGATTGGTGCTTTGACCACTTACTTGGGGAGTCTGTTCCAGTGACTGACAACCCTCTTCATGAAGAACCTTTTTCTAATGTC